ATATAGAATACTTTTTATACCCGATGCTCGAAGAGTAAATAGGGTATATTGTATTTGTGCGAATAACGGTTGTAAAGTATATATTCTTGATCAGCATCAATAGCCGAGTCGATAGAGCCATGTCTGTCTGTCCGTCTTGTTTGTCGGCTAGTTCTCAGAGACTATAAGAGCTAGAACCACCAAGTTTTAGCTCCAGGCTGCTGTATGCTCACACTGAAACCAGTGAATTTCAAAAATTAGCCCCGCCCCCTTCCGCCACCGCAAAATGGCGAAAACCTCCCAAATCTACAATTTTTAAGATAAAAGAAATCAAAAAACGCCATTCTGTAGGGAATGACCATATAACAGATCATCAAATTGGATCATTATTATAGCCACAATGAAGAAATTAATTTGCAGTGGCTAAACCCACCCTGTCCAGCAGCTTTTGTTGTTTTTTCACATTCTCTCATTCACACTCTGCTTCTGCAGTTGCCGCTGCCTCTGACGTAGTTATGTAGATGTAGATGACAGGTGTAGAAAAAATGTAAAATGTCAAATGTAAAATTCGAAAAAAAAAAACAATATGGTATGTACACTGACTGAGTGCCGGGTATAAAAGTTGTGACGCGTAAGATGCGTCTCACACGTCCCTTCTCGTTAGTGTTAGAAACAGCGGGAACCAATTATCAGGTATACACAAAAATAATATACACATCGATTGCCAGGTAGGATTGACACAGAATAACAAAAAACTCCTGGTGCCAAAACATTGCAAGCATTTTTATTATTATTTGTTCTCTTTTTTTTATCATCTTCGGTAAACCGTTGCCTGATTTCGATCAAGATTAGCCAACAACGAGGAGAACACACACACATATTTGAAGAATGTAAGATGTTAAGGTATAGTTTATGTGTTTCCGTGTGCTATTAATGTTGTTTGATCTGAGTAATTTATGAATCAGTATTGACAGCGACATAGAGGGAGAGGGACAGAGCAAGAGACGCTCACGGCTCTCACAAACTCTTTACAAGCTGATAACTGAAAACCTAACAGAGAAACGTGACGGGGAAAACGTTGCTTGATATTCCAGATAATTTGATAGGGAGAGTGCATGAAGATGACATGCTACTAAACTGTATTTATTTAAATATTTATTTATTAACTCCATATCTACTTACAGTTGTATTCAATGAAATATTAAAGCTGCACCTCATCACTTTCAAAATTATCATTAACAACAATTATCATAACATTCAACATGTTATACCTTTTTGAATAGACTGGAATGTAAGCATCTTCTTGTTTTTCAGAACTTTTGACAAATACTATTGAAAGTGTGCGAGTATTTTAAAAAAGTATAAAAACAAAACCAATTATGAAAACTATTATTCAAATTCTTGAAAAAAGTGTGAGGATTGTTGGTTTGAGCCTTACGAGCTTCAGCGTTTATGAAGTGGTACTTCCATCGAAATGGGTGAATCTTAAATGCGTTATAGCAAACCCGTCAACCAGAGCACATTTTCGCAGTGCTTTAAGAATTATAGGTTAAAATCAAATTGAAGCCTGGGCAGGACCTTATTGCCCCATGCCTGTCGTGAGAAAGGCCTTAATAAAACCAAACTTATAAGTTTAAACAGAACAAGGTTAATTATATTTTAAGGAATTAGTAAGGCACAATAAAACAGTCGAAATCCCCAAAAGCAGAGAGGTATTTTCTTTCCCTCCTACTAACCCAAGAATAAGTGTGAACGGGGAGCGACAGCAAAAGCAGCAGCTGTTCTTATCAGAAAGCAAGCTCAAAGTAACTGTAAAAAAGCCACCTGTAGCCATTTCACATGCTCCCAAAAAAGGAAAAAGGAAGAGCCAAACCAACACAATTATTAATTCTCTCTTTCTCTCACACTTATTGGCATTATCTGCCAAGACACACAGCAACAGCTTAATTATGGTACGCATTCACTAGATTATGTGTTCAAAGACAGATATAGAAATATTTGAAGAGCTTAAGTATATACATATATACATATGTAGGTATGAATATGAATGCATGAGTTCTCACCTCCAGTGTGTGGGGGAGCCCTTGAAAAAGGCTAATGTTTTAAAGTTGAATATTTGCTTCGCCAATCCCGCCCACGTGGGGGGCCTTCACTCCTTCCCTTTTTGTTGTTTGAGTTATTTCTTTTCTTCTTTAACAGTTATTTAGTGTAACACCAATCAACATAAGCTTTGCCTTTTAGTTGTTGTAATTCCTTTTAGCATTGCTTTTCACTTTACTTTACTTTTCTCCAAGCACACATGGAGAGATTTCTCGTGCAACAACTTTTTCTCTCTCCCTCTTTCTTTTTTTCTTTTTCGTTGTTTAAAAAACCAGTATTTGGTGGCTTCTTTCACTTGTACTTTGTTGTTGTTGGACGCTTTTTTCTTTTTTGATTCAAGAAATTGTTGAATAACGGTTTCGGTTAGCCGCTATGTTGCTTCTGTTGTTGCTGCTTTTGTCATGAATTTCACTTTGCTTTCGCGGCTGGGCACGCATTGCTTCTCTTTCTTTTTCTCCTACCTACTCCTTCTTTTCCTCGTTTTATTTTTTAGCCGTGGGAAACCTGTCCAACAGCCTTAATTTTATTGTTGTTGCTGGTCCTGCTTCCTAACGGCGTCATCTTGTTGCACATTTTCCTTGAACATTCGTTAAGCACTTGAATTTTTGTAGTAAAACATATTTTGTACACATAAATGCAAAGCAAACAGCAAAAACAACAAAAAACGCTTATAATGGAACGGTTCATTGCCACACAGACACTCACGCACACGTACGTACAGATATTTCAACACAGGCAGACACATCATATTCGGTTCAGGGGGGAGTCTAGAGGGGGAGGAGCATATTCAGTTTCAAGGCAACTTCATTTCTTTACTCCTCCCTCGCACACCACACTCGTGCCCCTGGGAAACAAAGAAAATTTCACTTGTCTCGAAGAGACGCGCCGCACCACAGACACAAACACACACGAACACGCACACTCTTACACTTTTTGGAATATTTTGTAAATCAAATATTTCACATTCCAAAAAGGAATCAAACACAATTTACGAAAAATCACATTTATTGACACAATTACAAGGTTTCTTTTCTTGCCTTGTGTTGCTGTTGCCGTTTGCTTTTGCGTTTGCCTTTTGCTTTGCTTTGCTGTTGTTGTTGGCCTACTTTGTGTGTGGGGAATTTTGTAGTTGTATTTTTCCTCTGCTTTTTGTTGCTGCTGCTTCTCTTCGTTGAAAAAATTTCACACGCGCCGTTTTCTCACATCTTCCTTTTTGTTTTGTCGTTTACGTATATGAATTATTATATTTTTTGGGGGGATTGCACTTAATATTCAGCCCCATCGGGGGGTTGCGTTTATTGTGCGCGTATTTGCACCATAATAATTATAGTAAAATTTTTGTTGTAAAAGAAATAACTACGAGAGACGAGCAGTGTGACCGCGGAATTATCGATCAAATATACTGACGGGCCCTCGGAAATATACCGAAACGTACCCTTGCCTTTTCAAAATATATTGTTAATATGCCGTAAATCTTAAATCATTTTACTCGACTTTGATCTTCTGTTCAATATTACCAGCTACTTAAGACTCTCAGCTCAAAAACTGTAATTTTACTCGTATCATAATTTAGTTCTCCACAAGAACGCCTAGTTTTTATGACTTTCTTTATTAGAACTTTTCCAATTAAGTTTAAAACTAAAAAGGTCATCCAACAAAATCAGCATAAATCTTTACGTGGGTGGTATGGAATGTTACGTAATTTGACAACTTGTTGCTTGTCAACGCGTAGTTTGTCATGTTATGTGCCTATTTCCTTTAATTAATAATAAAATTACATTTTGCCAGCTGCTTTGAAACATTAATAATGACAATATCTTAGATTGATTGATATTAGCCTTTTCATTTACTTTATTTATATATATATATATCGATCTATATGCAATCTCGATATCTTTTGCAAATATTCGTTGTTATGGATATCCAAAACAGATTGGGCGAAAAAAAAAACAGAATTCATGGATCGGAAACAAATACGTTACACTGAAATCGTACTCATTGTTTTTGGCTAGAATCGACAGCTGATTTATCGACAAGATCACGCAGAAAGGCAAACATGCAAACAAAGGCAAATAATTTAAAAAATAATGAATGCCTCTCAATAATTCGTTTTTATGGAATAAATGGAGATGATTTGCAAGGGCCCTATCCTTTATAAAACATAAAACCAAAAAACTAGCAGCTGCTCGTGCCAATATCCTTAGTTTCTGTTGCTGGCTCATACAATTTATGCTGCCAACTGTAAAAGTTGGCAGTTGGCAGTTTTCCAGTTGAGTACTCAGATCAGCAGAAAATATATCAGAAAATTAGCCGATTAAATCTTCCATCTCAAAGCGAAGGATAGAATTATTCTATCTTTTGTCGACAGAATCAAGACACGAGGAATGAAACAAGCAAACAAGCTCAAGAGGGCTGGAAAAGAGCATTACATGGAGACGATTTAAAACATAATAGTGCAGACGAACGAAAACGGATTATATGGATCGGTACTTATTTTATAAATTTTTAGGGAGATGAAACACATATTTATTGCATTTCTGTCCCGCCGGAATGGACTTATTCAATAATTCGGTGCTTTCTCCATGCATTGTTTTCCTTTAAACTCCGTAATCACTCTGAAATAGCACACTTTTCCTGTTTTCATACAAAGTTTGAATTTCTAACGGATTTCATTTTGTAAGAAAGCACAAAACAGTGTCCTCAGAGAGCATTCACTTTGCTCACTTTCGTCACAGAGCGAAATATATTGCACTTTCTGGACTTATAGCTGAACTCATTTGGCTCCGCTTCAGGTATTGCTCGTCAATATCTACGGTGAGACGGACATACACCCATTAACCTGTGTAAATAGAGGGGGTACAAGTGGATTAAGTTCGTTATTTCATCAGTATATTTACGGTATTGGTATATATGAGAGTCTATTTTGGTATATTTCTGAGGGTCAGACGGTATATTTGTTGGATAACTCCGGTGCCACACTGCGTACGACGCCAGGTATTCGGCGGGAAAATTGACATGTAAGAATTGTTATATATTTGTTTATTGCCTATTAATAGCATAGTATTTCACTCATAAGATGGCACCCGAAGCGAACGACATGTCGGAAGCAGCCGTGCGACGGTACTGCGGCATGGGCAACCATTTGCTCAGGAAGCCCAACACCATAATAAGGGAGACAAAAATGCTTCGCTTTGCACGCTACATAAACCCAGAACTGCGAGTCGATACACCAATCTGCTTGGATTGCTTCAAGATCCTAGAAAGGCTCTACAGGTCCAAAGTAAGTCATGCTCTGAGGCACAAAAAGAAGAATCAGGCCGAGAGCATATCGGACGTGAGCTCCAGCCAGCGACAGGACCTGACCTCCTTTTTGGACCCAAGCTCAACGACGTCCATCCCGACCATACGCAGGCGGGTGACGACCTCAGCGTCGGCATCTAGCTCTAGCGAGAACAACATGCCCACAACAAGCGCAGCGGCTGCGGAAAAACGCAAGCGACCCAATCCGCCGCCAGCTGCTCAGAACACCTCAATTGTGAGCGATGACGATGATCCAAATTCTAATCTGAGTCTGAATGCGGTCAATGGGACTCGGTTGCCACACATTCAGCCGATCCCCAAACGGCGCCAGACGGTTCATCTGAACAAGACGGCCATGGAAATCTACCTGGCAGGGACCACGGGCGGATAAGATGGCTATCCTCACTAACTTACTCATTCATACTCTCATGCAATTCATTTATTTAGAAAACACCTACCATCCGTAAACCAATCGACAAAGTGCTGTACAAACATAAATTATTGCTATCTGTTGTTATTTGGCTCTCACCTTACGGCCACCGAATAGTCGGTAGAGCTGCGCGTTATAGTTTAAAAGTTTGGAATTGAATAAGTAAAAATTTTCGAATCCCAACAGCCAGCTTTAATGTTTTCGTAAATTGTTGCCAAGTGTACTTTATTTAACATTAGCCTGTGAACTTTAAGGCGTGTATCGAACTAAAATAAAACTAAAACTAGAAGGAAAGTAATGTTTTATGATATAAGAACTAAATAAATAAATAAGTGAATAAAGTGCAACCCATAAGGGAAGAAATTACCTCAAATAAAGTCGCGTATTTCTGTGCTCATTTGAATCGCATAAAAAGTCGGAAGAAGTATTAAGGTATTTATTTTCGAAACAGAATTTCAAAGTATATGACGGGGAATAGGAAGAAACAACCAACTTAGCTTAAATGCTAATTTTGATTAATCCTAGTCCTTAGGTGATAGTCCCTGGGGTCCGTCAAGCTCACCAACATGCTCAGCACCCAACTGAAAATTTAAATGGAGGACATTGGCTGGCGGATTTATCTATTCAATGGTTGGGAACTCCTGCTCCTACATGTAACCCCATACGTGCGAATATAAATGCCCGTGAGGGCGTCATCCCAAACCCGATCCATGAATTCTTGTATCAAACACGCTGATGAAGTGCGATCACCAGGATGATCACAAGAATTGGATCATGGATCGGTGATCAGGTTGTCCTGTATGGTTCCCGTATGAATCTCGCCTTTTACAGGTCACAGCGGACTGGTCGACTTTTGAAATATTACATTTTCGTACACTACATAATTTATTATGAAATTATGAATTTTTATTTATATTACAATGTTTTGAATAAAATGCATCAGGTGTAATTTACCTTGCAGCGCTAGAATTTTTTGTGACGTTTTTTCCGACACCTTAATTTGTCGCAAAAATTCGCAGATTCCTGAAGGGGGGATTTGAATGAAAAAGTCAAATAAAAATTTGTAAAATATAAGTTCATTAGGCGCACAATCCAATAAAAAGGAATATTTATAATAAGCCAAATTTATTCCTCAACCGGATTAAACTGTTTGTTTATTGTTAAAAGTCGTTGCAAGCTGGGAAAATCAAATAGAACATCAAAATCGACGAATATGATTAAAGACTACGGTATATTTACGGAATATTAAAATGAGAAGGTATAGTTTGGTATATTTTTGAGGGTTGTGCTGTATATTTGATCGATAATTCCGCGGTCACACCGGTGCCTATATAAACAAACAAAGCAGTGCTTTACTTGACAAATTTACAACAATCACAAAACAGTTGGAAACGCAGGCGACAGTGCTCTAAACTTATTTTGAACTTCTAAATTCTGGTTATCCAACTAAATTGAAGGCAAGATGGCTGCACGTGATGCTGCTTCGAATCAGTTGATCGACTACAAGAACACCCAGACGGTGAGTGGGACTGAGAGGGAGCAATGTGTTTGCATGGGTGTGTGTGAGTGCCGGGCCCCGAAAAAGAAAGGAGAAAAACAAAGAGAAGAAATGAAAGGCAAAGCGGGGTGCAAAAATATTTATTGCTTAAAAAACAAGTACATTAAATCAATGAATGCTACGTGGAGCCTGTACTTTTTGAAATGTTAACAAATTTCGCAAGCAGGTTCTCCACGAGAGAGAGAGAGAGAGAGAGAGATCCAAGTTCAAGTGGCCGCCTCTCCACGAAGAGAGAAAGAGGGATGAGTGTCTCTTATCAGTTGTGTGTTGATAAGCCTTATCGTATTTTAATTTGGATTTATGAAAGTCTGAACCTAAGCCAAAGTATATGCACTGCAGAAAATGAAGCATTGTACACATACATACATGCATACGTATGTATATTTACTATTCTACTTGTTGCTCTGCACTTGTTTTCTAACCTTGCTCAACCTTTGGCCAAGCTGTTCGTTTGTTTTTCCATTTTATTCGCATTTATTTTCTTGTTTTTGGTTTCCTTTCTGTGTTTACACTTTTGTGTTATTTATTCGCTTTCGCTTTTGTTGAGCACCGTATAACGTATTTTCAATTTAGGCTTGGCTCTGAATGAGTTTAAATGGGATGGGAAAATCGTGCCTTAAAATGTAGTTCTCGAATACTTCAAAAGATCAATCAATATCTGCCCTTACTTTCCCATTTCCATGCCCCCATAAATCGATAATCCAAATGACACTTTCTGCTTGATAATTGCCCGAAAACGATTAGATCTATCTGATTAGCTGCAGTGTTGTGGCCACGCCACCACTGGTCAAACAATAACCAATAAACATTAACAATAAGTAAATATGTATGTATGTACCTATGTACATGCATAAAGTAAATATATGAAAATTGCACTTAGCTAATGGATGAGGTAAAAACAAATCAATTCAAACAATATCCCTAATTATGTTTAAAAAATAACAATTAAAATTAATTGCATATAGACAAAAAGAAAAACGCGCGAGGGCTGCGAAAAGTTGCTTGAATCGTTGCACGCTTGAGGTTGAAAAAATCGCACACTGCTCGAGTCAATGGACTCTGCAGCCAAGAGCCGTCGCTCAATGTTGCATAAACTGGTTGCAATGGCTCATTGCGATGATCAGTTACAACGACCCGCCCGGGCCTGGGCCATGAAACTCGTTTGAGCCAAAAGGTGGAAATGCGGACAGACAGGACAGGATTCGGCCCGGTCCGTTTAAGGAAAATGCGTGCGTTCGAGGCAAATTTTCTTTCTCTAATTTGGTTATGCAATTGAGCTGGAACGCCCGGCCCCGGGCTATGTGAGAATATGTTTGGAAATGACCCAGAAAAGAGGCTACTAGCCATGTAGATTGGTTCGTGTTGTTTCACTCGAATCCGGCCTTCTATGACGAAACTATGAAAACAGCATTTTGTCAGGAAATTAGCCATTTGCCTTTGTTTTAGCCAAACACTCATTTCAGTTCGGTTCATTGTCTCTATATATAGGGTGGGAGTGGAGTGTTTCATTTATACTGCATTATTTCAAGAAGTCCGAGAAAATCCAGAGAATCCACATTGGATGTGGAATTTCTGCGATTTTCGAGAGAACGCGAAGGTTTGCAATGGCAAAAAATGCTGTTTATTATGAGATGGGCAAGATATTTCAGCAACGCAAAAATGGTATTCAAAATCTCAGGCTTCTGATATTTTTCAAAATTAAAGATGTCACAAATTTGTTTTGAAGCTCTGCTTTCATTTTGATAGATGTCTACACTTGTTGCTTCTCTACGTCTTGTAGTATTTATCAATTGCGCATATCTTACAGGGCTGCCGCTAGCTCATTATCGTCGCGATGTTTACCCCCTCCTACATATACATATATGTATACATACATATGTACATATATACATATATACCATTCCTTTCATATCCGCGACAAGTTGCAATTAAAAACTGGGAAGAGCAAGTACACTCCATAACTAGGCGGCCTTTATGTATTTTACACTCTTGTAGATCGAGTCTGTTTGTAGAGATTGATTGGAGAGAGGTTTGCTTTTGCTACACTGTCTGGCCTTTGCTGTGGCCCCTCATTGTTATAGTCTCATTGTTATAGTGAAAACGGTTCTGGACTGAAGCGAGTGAACACAAAGACAGTGCAGACAAGTTTAAAATGCGAATAAGAATGCAGAAAACTTTGGATTCAGAGGAAAGGGGCGGTGGCGAGACCTGACGCGAATTGAATACAAATTTACTTTAGAAGATATATAGAAGGCCATCTAATGGAATATAATTTCATTTCAATATATAAAGAAGAAATTTCAGTCCGTTTGCAAGCAAGATACATATATTTAATTCCTAAATCAACATTTTATATCCTGGTCTTATTTTCCAGACAGTAATCCAAGTATAAATTTTTTGTTCTCGCAATATCTAAATGACTTTGTTGTGAAATAAAAAAAAAGCTAATTTATATGTCTGACACATCGCCAGAGAGAGAGAGAGAGAAAGAAATAGACAGAGAGGGACTGAGAAAAGATCTACAACCTTTGTATGCACTTTATTGTTCCTGAAATGCCCTCAAATTATAATTTCACATGGCGTTGAGCTGCGCTCCCTCTCATCCCTCAGGTGATTCCATTAATGAGTGACATTTTGTGCAAATTGTTGGGCAAAGCTGCTTCCATAATGAGCGTTGGCTTGATTGCATGTGGAATAAACGATAAGGGGCCCAAGGAGTGGCTGTTGCAACTGAATTAAGTTGCTCTGTTGACAGGGATAATAGATGTCGAATAGAACTACGCGTTAAATTACTTAAAAAACTATAATTAGACCTCTCTACACTACTACAAGAAACAAGCGAATGGTCAGTGGGAAAGGCCAACTGGGTTATCATGAACTGGTGTATACTTTAAAGACTGATAAATCCCTCCTCAGTGTTGCAATCTGTATACTATAAAACGGTAAACGGTATACATAGTATAATATACTTATTTTTGGCCCCTCAATGTGACCCCCCATGACAAGTCTTAGTATTTACTCTCGTCGAAAGTAGAAACGATAAGTGCCCGGCCTGCAATCTTTATGTTTATGTTTTTGTGCCGGGAACACCTACCTTATATATAAAATACAAAAGTCCACTCCCCAAAATAAGAATTAGAGCGATAAGCTGAGATAAGATTTCAGGGACACTTTGAACAACGGCATTCGGTTATGCAACCAGCAGAGTGGGAGAGAGAGAGAGAGAATTGCAACTGACAAAATTGTTAATTTGTTTCAGGTCTCGCCAGGATCAATCACTACTGGACATGGCTCACCGATTGGCATCAAGGATGCGACACAGACTGTGGGTCCCCGCGGTCCCGTGCTTCTGCAGGACGTGAACTTCCTGGATGAGATGTCGCATTTTGATCGCGAACGCATCCCCGAGCGCGTGGTCCACGCCAAGGGAGCAGGAGCATTTGGATACTTCGAGGTGACTCACGACATCTCCAAGTACTGTGCCGCCAAGATGTTCGACAAGGTGAAGAAGCGCACTCCTCTGGCCATTCGCTTCTCGACGGTCGGAGGCGAGAGCGGGTCGGCCGATACGGCCCGTGATCCGCGCGGATTCGCCGTCAAGTTCTACACGGAGGATGGTGTCTGGGATTTGGTGGGCAACAACACCCCCATTTTCTTCATTCGCGACCCGATCCTGTTCCCCAGCTTCATCCACACCCAGAAGCGCAATCCGCAGACGCACCTGAAGGATCCCGATATGTTCTGGGACTTCCTCACCCTGCGCCCTGAGTCGACGCATCAGGTGTGCTTCCTGTTTGGCGATCGTGGCACTCCCGACGGCTACTGCCACATGAATGGCTACGGATCGCACACGTTCAAGCTGGTGAACGCCAAGGGCGAACCGATCTACGCCAAGTTCCACATGAAGACGGACCAGGGCATCAAGAATCTGGATGTGAAGGCCGCTGATGAGCTGGCCTCCAGCGATCCGGACTACAGCATTCGGGACCTGTACAATCGTATCAAAACCTGCAAGTTCCCCAGCTGGACCATGTACATCCAGGTGATGACCTTCGAGGAGGCCAAGAAGTTCAAGTACAATCCGTTCGACGTGACCAAGGTCTGGTCGCACAAGGAGTTCCCTCTCATTCCCGTCGGCAAGCTGGTGCTCGACCGCAATCCCAAGAATTACTTTGCCGAAGTGGAGCAGATTGCCTTCAGCCCCGCCCACTTGGTGCCCGGCATTGAGCCATCGCCCGACAAGATGCTGCAGGGTCGTCTCTTCTCCTACTCGGACACGCACCGCCATCGCCTGGGACCGAACTACTTGCAGATCCCCGTGAACTGCCCCTACCGCGTGAAGGTGAACAATTTCCAGCGCGATGGGCCGATGAACGTGACGGACAACCAGGATGGTGTCCCCAACTATTTCCCCAACTCATTTAACGGACCTCAGGAGTGTCCCCGGGCCCGTGCTCTGTCCACTAGCTGCCCGGTCACTGGAGACGTCTATCGTTACAGCAGCGGCGACACCGAGGACAACTTTGGCCAGGCCACCGACTTCTGGGTGCACACGCTGGACAACTGCGCCAGGAAGCGTCTGGTGGCGAACATTGCCGGCCATCTGAGCAACGCCAGCCAGTTCCTGCAGGAGCGAGCCGTCAAGAACTTTACCCAGGTCCACGCCGACTTTGGTCGCATGCTGACGGAGGCACTTAACCTGGCCAAGTCCTCAAAGTTCTAGGCACCACACGCAGTGCGATTTGGTTATTGGCCTTAGATCCGGTCTATATTGCTGTTGGCATCTCATGCCCACCCTCACCCCATTCTAACACGACCTTCTACCACTCTCAAATTGACTAACAAGAGCGGAAGGCTTCTTGGCTTCTTGGTTGCGGGCATTATTCTGTTATCTGATCTGTCCTGTTTTGATATTAAAATTTGTCGTAGTTTTACACGAACACACATTTATATGATGCAATGGATATACACACACATGTAATAAATTCTTTATACTTTGATAACAAAAACAAACGACAGGCTTTTGATTGTTAGTTTGTTGGACATTTTACTTATTTACGATTACGTTCCTTTTTTCCTTCGATGGAAGCAAGTGACTGAGTGCCACGGACACTAACTACCTCTCATAGTCTTCTTTGGCTCCATCTACTCGACGTTGAAGCTGCTCTTCTCGCGAAGCGTTTGTCTTTTCGATGTTAGCAGGCAATGATGTTCAATGAAGTTGAATGCATTGTTCGATTCCTTTGATATTCCTCTTACTGCCGTACCTCAATGTTTCCAGTCTTTCCTGCTAACAACTTAAGTAGCATCATCATCGAAACTCTCTCGTACATACATACCTCCTTGGAACCCTGGCAGTTGGGGCACTTATTCAAAAACGGTTGACCGTTTAAACATCTCAGAACATCGGCCAATGCCTCCGAGTCCAAACTCGAATGGCGTTCAGTGTTTCACGGTTTCTCCCTGTAAAAGGCCACTGCGGACCAAATCCAAAGAATAGTGTAGTTAAGGATCAGTTCGTATCGTAATGGGTGGATTTTTGGCATGAACACTGGACATGTCTACATGTTTTTTCATTGTGAAAACAATTTCTTTCTTGTCTAAATGTGGTCGATTCTAATTTGTCGTAGTATTGATTTTTTACCATTTTGAAGGTAGTCAATGGTGATGAAGCCGCGTGCATTAAAAACGAGGAGAAACTTTGTTATTCGAGTTCAAAAGCGACTCTACTTAGAGAGAATGAGCAGGAAGGCTGCTATAAGGGGTGGGGGCAGCCACTAGACATGAATTTCATAATTTTGGCTATACAAATTATTAAACTTGATACCTTTTCGGGAATCTGGCATTCATATGTGGACATTCTTTCATAGTCTCTGAGTACTAAGCTACAATCAAGTCGCGCGGACAGACGAATAGACAGACAGACAGACAGACATAGACTCGGCTGTTGATGCTGATCAAGTATATATTAACTTTATATGGTCGGAAACGTTAATTCTGTACTCATTAATATACTCTATCTACTCTTTAAGTTAACTACTGACAAACCCACCTTGGTCGGCTTTGCCTCAGAATTATTCTGAGAGAAACACTGTTTTGACTTCTTTTGTCTCTGGTGTGTTTTGGCTGATACACGTTTCCTCAACTTTTACAATAAGGGGAAAAGGTGAATAAGGATTTTATTTATTTGTTTCACATTCTCTCATTCCACAATCTGCTTCGAGCAGTCTGCGGCATTAGGGGAGGAGGCCGAGCTAAGAGAGCGTGTTGGCGAGAGAAGTGGATTTTACACTTGTAGCAGTGAGATGGCATACAGCCATCTGGATGCAGCATTTTGTGGCTTTAGCTTTTATAGTCTCTGAGAACCAGGCGCTCAACAAGACGGACGGACAGATAGACATGGCTAAATCGACTCGTCTATTGATGCTGATCAATTATATTTATAATTTGTGGGACCTTTTGTGTGCTACATTTTTTCCGCTTATTATTTACTCTTCGAGTACCGTGTATAAAAATGGGTTACCCCGGCACTCACTATCTTTTTGCTCTCTCTTTCTCACTCTGCTACATTAAAATGGCTGAAAGCGAAAGGATTTTGCCAAAGTATGTCTGTCGTCCCTATGAGCACCTAGTTTTCTACTGAGTACCGGGTATAAAAGTTGTGACGCGTAAGAAGCGTCTCACACGTCCTTTCTCGTTCTTAGTTAGGATTGATACAAATCAATCGATCGATCGGCTGTCGAGTCATACGTTTTTAGTGAATTGTCATCTTCCTTTGTTGGTTGAGCTTTTATTATTACTTCGATTTTTTTTTAAATCTATATACAACATAAATCGTTTGAAAATGTACACAGTATTATTTAAACTTAAACTAAGTCTATTTGTGTGCTCATTTCAGGTTGCAATTAAATATTGAGTAAGTTGTTCATTACAAAAATTGTTGATACATTGAAAAACATGTTTGAATATGTACGTTCTCTCAGTCTAGTAATTGAAAATATAAGCAAACTACCGCTGTTCCTGCTGCGACGGTCATTAAATGTAGTTTCTTATGATGCTTTCTTCCTTTTTGCTTACTAAATGCAACAATTAAGTAACATTAATTTGTAGTTAAATATTTAGCTGAGTTTCATGAGTAAAGCGCTCGGGTTTTACCCCCCAGGTTTATCGTTTTGGACAATATTGCTAGCGTTCTCTTCTCACATTTGTATGGTACACGTTTTGCCAAACAATATCAATGATTTGTATCAAAAGTTCTCAAATCAGAAATGCATATCTCGTTAAAAACCTTCTGCTCTGTTCTCTCTGTTTCTTTCAGAAAAAGGCACTTTTCTTGTACAATTCCCTAACTTTTCGGTGTGTGTTTTAGGACTAAATTCTAACTAACTAGTGCGTCTTATTGGCAGCTGCTTCGGCCGCGAGACGCGCCCATTCGGGGAACGAATTGAGGTTGGGGTACACAACCAGGCCCCAGGTTTGACAGAAGATAAACAGAATAATGATGGTGATGATGGTGGGGCCAATTCCCGCAAGAGCCATGTCCTTTGTTCTAATGTTGGCATAGCCGGCCACCAAAGCATTGGGCGGCGTGCTCACTGGCAGGTGGAAGGCCATGCTGCAGGCCAGGCCAGCGGGCAGAATCAGATACAGCGGATGAATCTCAATGGCTAGAGACTGCAAGGAGAGTATGTACAGTTATGGGTAATGTAATCAAAAATGGAGAGCAGCAGATCAACTCACCATCTCCGCCAGAACGGGAATAATAATGTTGGCAATAGCCACATTGGAGCTGAATGCAGTGAGCACCACAGCCACCAGGATGACCACCAGCAGGAGTACAGCATTTGGCAAGACCTTCAGGCCAATCAGGGCGTTGCCAATCAGCTTGGCCATGCCACTCACTTTGCTACCCTCGGCTAGGGCGAAGCCTCCGCCCAAAAGAAAGACCAGGCCCCATGGCACTTTGGTCTGAATGAACTTCCAGGTAATCAAAGAGGGGGAAGGGCCTGTGGGCACTGGACCACCACGTCTTGAGCAGTAGCGTAGGAAAGCATAGTTGGCCGGCAGAATGAAGCACATGATGACGACGAAAATAGTCGGCATAGAGTTGCGAATGTCCCTGAAACATGCGGATCAGGTAGACGTATTAGTATGGATACTCTGATAAATCAATGGCAATTTTCGCACTCACTTTGTGTTCAACCAATCTGCCCATCCCAGGAAGATGCCAGGTTTGCGGGTGAAGTACATGATGACCATGAAGATGAAAAGAATCATTACTTGAATCTCGTGGATGCTCATGGGGCCCAGCTCCTTGTAACGCTGATCGATCACCTGTAATTTATTAACGTTTTAGCTTTGAAGTAAACATGTAAATAAACTCTGCTGATTGCTCACCTTCTTGGCCACATCAGCGCCATCCTTGCCCATCTGCACTTCTTGAGCCTCCTTGCTCTTGGGTCGGAACAGACCCATAAAGTGCCACTGCAAGAAGATGAATGTCAGGAATGTGTAGACCAACATAGCAGGCACGGAGTAGAACATGAATGTGGGGAAGTCCATCTGTTCGGTGGAGGTGGGGAAACGCGACTCGTAGATGCCTTTGAATGTGAGATTGGTGGCGGTTCCAATTATGGTACCACAGCCGCCCAGCGACGAGGCGTAGGCAATGCCCAGATAGTAGCATAGAGTGATTTTGGTGGGATATGGTGGCCTGTCGGGTAATAATTACAGGAATTAGTCAAATAATCAAAGTGAATTTCCCTTTAATATAGCTTACTCATCCTCGTTGTTCTTCTTGTTGCCGCCGACAATCTGATACTGGGGCTCGTGGTTGATCTTGCAGACACCCTGGGCCTGCAGCTCCTCCAGCACAGCGTGAATAATCGGACACATCATAGCCGTACAGGCGGCGTTCGAGATCCACATGGACAGGAACATAGTAACCATAATCAGACCAAAGTGTAATCTTCGGGGACTGCAGCCCACGATCTGGATTACCCTCAGAGCGAGACGCTTGTGCAGATTACAGTATTCCACGGCCAGGGCCACCATAATGCCACCCATGAACATGACCAGCGTGTCTTTGAAATACAAACGGCAGGTCTGATCTGAGCTCTGTATGGAAACCAAGCAAAACACTCATTTAGTTTGAGATTCTTGTTGGCTAAAAAGTTATACAGTCTCACCATAATTCCCATCACTGGGAACGCCACAATGGGTATCATCGATGTCACATAGAGTGGAAGGGCTTCAGTAACCCAAAACACGGCCATCACCAATAGCAGGTACATGCAGCGATATTCCTGAAAGAGTTAGACCCATTTGTAGAATTACCTTTCATTTGAAATCAATGTGTGATTGAAACTTACGGGTGTATTGTTCAGCAGCATAATGGGCAGACAAAACAGAGGAACCAGAAAGACCACAAGGCCTTTCCAGTGATTGCTGAAGAAGTTGGAACATTTTACCGGCGGCTGTGGAGGTTCACCGATTTCACTGTAGATTATAACAGGCAATAATATGTAAATTAAAGCTGACTTAAAAACAAAACATTTAAAGGAATCGTTACCTGCCAAGAGTGCCGTCTGGCCATATCTCTACTTATTGTTAAAATCGATTCTTTAGAAAGTGATATTTCTTCGCTTTCTTCTATCTATGAATGTATGAATTGACCTTGTGCACTAATGGACTTTTAATATCTTATTTTCCTAAAGCAATCATAAACATCTGCCTATCGTGTCAATTTAATTACTATATACAAGTGATAATACTTACACTTCCATTTTGATGTCTGCTGGAGGATAGATCTGTAAGCAAAGAGAACACAAGACAAATAGATCAATAAAAATGATCAACAACGAGCCCCCTTAAAGTATTTACACTATATGTACTTTGGAAACAGAAATCACTTGTTGCCATGTCGTAGCCAAAAGTAATCTGAACTCCGAACCCAAGCAATCGATTGTCATCGTTCACGCTTCATTAAAATGCCATCCATCAGCATAACAACATACATTGAAGCTCAAACCTAACCAATTGAAAATAATTTGAATCGGGCACACACAGCGCAGTAAAACAAAAAAAAAACCATCCAAATAAACTAAGCACATAGAAATCAGACGCGTGATATAATTTCTTTTTGGCAAAAAAAAAGCTTTGCAGTAATACTATGGAAATTAAACAGAATGGAACGGAATGAGTAAGTATGCCTGAGTGTGCCAGAAAATGTGTCAACGTCTGAGGTGCTCGAATATACATATATGTATAGGTAGGAATACTTTTGGCGGATGTTTCAGAGGCGCATATTCATGACGACAGTTGGCCCCTATTTCTTTCTGAGCGTCATCACACCTTGGCAGTATAGTGTGCGAGTATCTTAGGTAATCTATGCGTAAGTTAGTTCTCCAAATAGATCAATAAAACCTGGATATATATGTGAAGTACGATACAATCAATCAAGCACAATCAAGGAGCACACGCCCTCAACACAAAAGTTGTGTTTCCTTTAACATTTAGGTAAGTACCTATGGCATTTAAGATATACAGATGTTTATACATAATATGTACATACA